TGGAAGTTGAGATGTCGAAAAAGTGCACGCCGTTGTGGCGCGAAGCACATTTCCAAGTCAAAATGTACAAAGCACACCAGGTTCGGACCACTTTTGGAAGTTGAGATGTCGAAAAAGTGCACGCCGTTGTGGCGCGAAGCACATTTCGAAGTCAACATGTGCAAAACACTTCAGCTTCGGACCACTTTTGGAAGTTGAGATGTCGAAAAAGTGCACGCCGTTGTGGCGCGAAGCACATTTCGAAGTCAAAATGTACAAAACACACCATGGTCGGACCACTTTTGGAAGTTAAGATGTCGAAAAAGTGCACGCCGTTGTGGCGCGAAGCACATTTCCAAGTCAAAATGTACAAAACACACCATGTTCGGACCACTTTTGGAAGTTGAGATGTCGAAAAAGTGCACGCCGTTGTGGCGCGAAGCACATTTCGAAGTGAAAATGTACAAAACTCTAGGGGTTCTGACCACTTTTGGAGGTTCAGATGTCGCTTCGCCGCTTCGCTTCACTACACTACACTACGTTACATTACACCACACTCCACTATACTACACTACATTACACTACACTACACTCCACAACACTACAACTACAACTACACAACTAGACTACACCCCACTGCGCTCCACGACATTAAATTTCACTACACTACATTACACTACACTACGCTCCACTACACTGCACTACATTAAATTACACTACACTCCACTACACTACATTACACTACACTACACTCCACAACACTACAACTACAACTACACAACTAGACTACACTCCACTACGCTCCACTACATTAAATTTCACTACACTACATTACACTACACTACGCTCCACTACACTGCACTACATTAAATTACACTACACTCCACTACACTACATTACACTACACTACGCTCCACAACACTACAACTACAACTACACAACTACACAACTACACTCCACTACACTCCACTACACTAAATTACACTGCACTACACTACACTACCCTACACTACACTCCACTACACTACACTCCACTACACTACACTACATTACACTACACTACCTTCCACTACACTTCACTACATTACACTACACTCCACTACACTACAACTACAACTACGACTACACAACTACACTCCGCTACACGAAATTACACTACACTACACTACATTACACTACACTACACTACACTACACTACATTCCACTACACTCCACTACACTACACTACAGTACACTACACTACAATACACTGAATGACACTGCACCACAGATAGACAGGTAGACAGCTAGACAGATAGACAGATGAAAGAGAGAAAGAGAGAGAGAGAGAGATAGATAGATCGATCGATCGATCGATCGATAGATAGATAGATAGATAGATAGATACATAGAAAATAGATATATAGGTAGGTAGGTAGATGGTCAGAGAAAGAGATAGAAAGAGTGAGAGAGATCAAGCACCTTTCAGTCCATCAGTGGCTTCGCTCTGCCATCCCTGATTCATAAGAACCAACCTCTCCTATAGGTTTCCTATTTTTGAAACTTCCGCCACCGCCTTGTGCGGTACTACTGGTATTATATAATTGTCACTAGTAGAGTTTGGTAAGTGGAAACGATTTCTCCTTGGATCATCTTGGATCTAAATGGATACCCCTTGACACTTTGATACTCAGAGAAGTCTTGGCTTGTGTACGGTGCCACCACTACCTAGGCCCGGAATCCTTATATAAGGTGCCACAGCAAACAATCGCTGTGAGCGCGTGACCCTGACCTGTTGGAAGTGGTCTTGTTGTGTGGAAGGAGATCTAGGACAATTGATGTGAACATCTGTGAAGATCATACAGTCAGAGGTACGCACTGGCAAAAAGTGGGTACAAGGACTGTGCCGGATTCCTGGAGATCACTGGAGATTGGGAGCCGAAGTGCTTCAAGATGACCTGTCAGCGTGATCCACACAGATTGATTCAACAATTTCAACACTTTGCTGAGTTCCTCTTGCTGATTTTTGTTCCTACTGATCCTAATGCAAGGTATGCAATGTGTGTGTGTGTGGTTGCGATGCGTTACTGCATCTTGCACAGGCTCTGAATACGGGTTGGGCAATGCATGCTACGCACCTCTAGAATACGTCACACACACATGCTTTGAGTAATGGAGTTGTGGAGCACCCTTGATGCTGAGAAATTTGGCAAAGCGGCGATTACCAGCAATACCACCGATACAATGTTGGAAAATCCCTCTAGAAATTGCATTGCCAAGGGTATCCAAAATCAAGCTGGAATAGTAAAAATAAACTGGGTTCTCTGGAAAAGTAGTGCAGCCGCCAGAGGAAATTCCAAGGAGTCGATCTTCTTGTAGAATATTTTAGAATATTGACGACCCTGAGTAGGTAAATGTGTTTTTAGTGGTTGCATTGAGGGAAATCTTCTGCGCCACGTACACCACTAATATTGTCTAGGGAAAAAACCCTTCGATGGGGGGTCGATATACAAGTGTCAGTGTTGTCAAGTTTGATTTTCTAGATGTCATTCTGGTTTTGATCCCTATGACTTCAATTCCCCAATATCTAGAAGATGGTATGTAAAGGGGGGAGCACACAGTCAGTGCCGCGAACAATTTAACCTCACCAGGCATGTACTCACAGTGGCAGAATAGGAAATGAACTGGTAAAATTGTGCAGGGCTTTTCTAGAACTTTCAAGAGGTCCTAAAGATAGGCATGAATAGTGGCAAACGCATCTTGGATGCTATTCCGTGGAGACAGAAAGTTGTTATGTTCCCAACGCACATGCACAACCACAAGGTTCGTTTGGCAACATTGAAACATATTTTCGGTTGCTACTGTCAGATGCAGATAGATCATGCTGTCTAAGCATCTGATTGTGAAGATATCGAAGAACAAATCGCAACTTTTCCACTCCGAGGTTGAAGAAGCTGTTTGGAGCGTCCTAGCACAACATGGGCGGTGCCACCTACGACGGTTTTCCATGACAGAGGCATGGACCAATGGACTCGGCATGGACCAGGCTGAAACTTTCGTGTCAGTTTTTCCGTCTACGAATGTCGACTTGAGAAGCACTGCTACAGATTTCCTCCTTGCTCAAAGAGTCCGTGAATTGAGCTGGAGTTCGGAGCAAAATAAATGAAAACGTAATGTAAGATATGTAAGTAGTGGATCTGCCAGAGGGTGCTGGGAAAGATTCAACCCACAGAAGAATAGTGAGGTTGAAAAAGATAGTCCTGCGTGACTTCTTTGAGGAGAGCACCTTTGAATGGAATATTACAGAAATGAAATATGTAAAGCACATTGGAGCATGTGAAGAAAGAGCAATGGCACCATCACACCACTAATAAGAACGGTAATGACAGCAACCAAGAATATGACAAGACAATCAAAACGCAGCTGTAGCCGTGGCAGCCATAAACTATGCTCCCCAACAATAAGATCAAGACAAAAAAGGTGAAGATGAATAATTACGAAGAGTACGAAGAGTACAAAGAGTACAAAGAGTACGAAGAGTATACCAAGATGAAGTGGAATTAGAAAAGACGAACAAAAACAACAGCAACAGCCTGGTGCACCAGCATTGAACAGGTTGCCGCTTGAAAATCGGATGAGGAAGAACAGATTGCATGGGACATCGGATAATGAAAACAGTGCAGTGCACGTCTACAAGAAGTTGATTGCAGAAGTCATGCGCTTCGCAGTCATCACAAGTTCATCGAAAGCAGTAGGGGAGACATGGTAGTTCTCACAACATGGACTGACATCAGCAGACTGGCAGAAAGGAGGGGTCTCGCGTAATCATGCTGCAATATGCTGCACTGCAATATATGAAGATGCTTCCCCATAGAATCCCGAACTATTTTGAAGCTGAAATTGACGGTGTATCTTGCTGCAAGATGTCAGGCCGCAAACTTAGCATCTGCATTCGCAGAAGTCTTGGGCAACAAGGCCTGGGACAGCATGTTCACATACCAAGCGGTTCCAGCTGAACTTGACATGGCACCCCAAAGTCCTCAAGTTTGCTATGTGATCCGATGTCACGTAGTTCTAGTTTTTTCAGGTTTGTCAAGTCTCTTGGAGTACAATCCCAGTGAAATGTCCATGTTTGTGGGTTGGGACGTGATGATCTATATACCTTGAAGGAGTCGAGAGTTTCTGGATACCTCTTTCAGACGTTGCCCCTTCAGACAAGTGGACAATTGCAGGTGTCTTGATTCATTTTGCTGCAGTTTCAGCCTCCGTGTCGTTTGAGTTTGACGTTGGCAGTACCTTGCATCCTTTTTTTTTTAAAGAAAAGCAGAAAAGTTTGCGATGGAGTTGTATATCTTCCTCCTGTCTCTGCTTGGCATCATTCAATGTTCACATCCGATTAAAAAAATGTGATAAAGCACGCCAACTTCCCGGACTGATTAAGACCCCCACATAATGGAAGATGCAATCTTTTTTTGCTTTTTTTCTTGCTTCATGTTTCTTTCTTTCCCAGTTTTTCTCCTTTTCCATTAAAAAAAATGACTCCAACATCTTCAGGACCAGGGCCTGAAGTTGCATTTTCTTTCTTACATCTTGTTTCAGAATTGGCGCACTCGCAAAGAGGGTAGTCCAGAAGCAGGCCGACGTCTAAATAAAAATAGTTTGAACCCCCCACGCAAAGTTTGCCAATCTTGGGGACCTTCCTTAGGATTCAAATGAAAGTCAGTTCCAATTCAAATTCAGTCTCATTTAGGTTCCGTGTCAAAGTCAAGTCGGACTGCTTAGAGTCAGGTTTAAGTGAAATTCAATTCCAATTGCTTAAAGTCAATTGGAATCAATTCACTTTAAAGTCAAGTTGAGTTCAAGTAAGTCAGTTCAGATTCAACTCAAGCAAAACCAAATCAACACTAACTTAGAATGAATTCAAATTTTAAACAAGATCAATCTCCATCCGCAGATGATTTTCCACTAAAGCACCTAGAAAGCTTTACCTGTCGTAAGATTCCTGTCGAGATGATTAAAGAAGCTTGAAAGCCTGTGGGATGCATCATTTTGTTGGCCTTAGTGAGGGAGACTCACTGCTGTCCTCACTCCTAACTGGTCGATTGCGTATGTGATTCCCAGCTACCACCAACACTCTTGAAAGATCAGGGAAGCCATGGACATAGCGCTGGTTTTGTCGTTTTGTCCCGATGTACATGCTGCTTCTCCCTTTTGCTCCATGTGTTTATTTGATTTGTGTGTAATTGTCTGATGTTAATCGCAGGTTTCGCAATGTTTCCGCAACCAGCCGTCCTGTGTTGCCATGTTTGATGATTTCTTTGTACGCCAAAATAGGGTGAGACACCTTGGTCAAAGACAGCACGCTTGGCTTTCACATTGTCAGTTGCCATGACTCGAATTTTCTGGAGGCGGCTCAGAATCCAGCAACGACTTTAGAACTTCACACATTTTTTGACGAATTGTCTGCAACCTACTATTTCGATTGGTATGGAGCAGTGCATGTGGAGGAACTACTTTTGTGACGTTTGTGTACACCAAGGTTAGGTGAAGTGACAAGGTGGATTTCGAGTGAAGACTCGAAGAGGTGGGAGAGGACTTGGAGTCTTAGAGCAGAAGCTGCTTTGATGCCATGAATGCCATGGATGCCGATGCCATGGATGCCGATGCCATGCTGACGCCTTGGCTTTCTGCTCTCGCTCTCAGTCATCTCAGTGCAGGCCTTTGCCTCCTGCAGCTGCTGCAAAGATGATCGTGGCTTTTGGAGTCGCTTTGCAAGCACTACGAAATAAATCAGAGATAAATAAGCAAATCTATGAATTTCACTCAAGAAGACAAAGGAGATAGGGAGGCCAACTGACAGACTTCTTTGCATTGGTCATAGAGCAAAGGAACAATCTCTTTGCAGTTTCTGGGCACATTTTGACTCCTACAGAGTCAGTTTCACTGGCTTGGCGAACCACCGTGAGAAAGAGAAGTGCCAAAGTCTTGCTAGCAACACAGCCCTTCAAACTCCACACACACACACACACACACCAAAAGTTGCATGATACATGTGCTGTGGACGCCTAAGTTGGTTTCAAACAACTCCGTTTTGCTCTGTGTTACGTCCCTTCTTATGGCTATAGTTTCCTTTCTCAAGGCCTTGGCAAAACTGAGGTAAATCGCAAAGGAAATTTATACCAGACCTGCAACCTATATATTTGGAAATGGAAGGTGTTGCAAAAAATATTGCGATTTCTTCTTGCGTTTAGACGACTGATAGCAACAAATAACAAAGAGCAGCCCCAGCTCAGCTGCCAAGGACACAAAGTGCTATGAGGCAGCTGGAGCCGTGCAAGAACTTGCCAGGCCAAAATTGTTTTTGCTTGGAACCGGGAATTCGAAACAAAAGCAACCAAAGGATTCCACCAAACAACCAAAGCCGCACATGCACTTGTCAAAATCATCTTCGCCATGCTTGTTTCAATAGCGACCAGTGAAAACCCTCTCTCGCTCTCTCTCTCTCTCTCTCTCATGTCGACTTATGTCGTTTGTGATTGGCAGCAGGCTCATTTGTATTTTTCTCAGATGGCCCATTTGGGCCCTAGCTATGTGTGTTGCTGGAGGCCACGGCAAGGGTGCGGATGCAGGGTGGTCTAGAGTGCAGGGTGCTGCGGGGTGCTGCGGGGTGCTGCGGGGTGCTGAAGGGTGCAGCAGGGTGCTGCTGAGCTGCTGGTGCTTCAGGTATCTTGCTCTTTGCAGCTTGAAACAGTTGCAATGCTTGTGGGGCTTGCTTTGTGCTCAGAAAGCGAAGCTTTAAGAGCCCGGTTGCACGGCTTGGTCGCGTAAGGTTTATTGCCTATTTCTTTACCAATCAGAAATTGCATGCTTGCAGGCGATTCCTCCTTCCTTCGCAAGGGGCTTACTGGCGCCAGACACACATTGACCACTGGAAGTTCTTTGCCCTGTTGTCTTCATTGTCTTGAGGCCGCAAGTTCCGGTGCGCTCGGTCATTCAAGCACTTTCTAAGCTGCACGTTTTCGACGAAGATTTGGTGCAGGCGGGCATGCTGAGCAGCTCACACTGTGGAAAACTCATGAAATCAATGACGTGTCTCATTCCCACACCGATTCACAGAAGCTGTATTCGTGAGTCCTTTCATAGATTCTTGTGTTACTTTTTCGTTTCGTGGAGGCTCTTACAATGGCCCAAAAAGCAAGCGTGCGACGACGCCATCCATGAAAATGCTCTGAGCGGAGCCAAGTTCAAAACCTTGTGGTGGCCCGCTAGGTGGTTTCAAGCTCACGCTGGCAGTGCTGGTGAAAAAGGGAAGCCGCTGGCACCAGCATTAAAAAAACTACCCAGCACTGCAAGTTGCTTTTGTCTTTGAACAGCCAAAGCACAGCCTTTGGAGTTGAAGCGGTGTTCATGGAAGTTGGAAACGTGAAGAAACGTGTAGGCCCCAAGAAACGCTAGCTTTCTGTCTGGATATCCAGGCAGGGGATTGAGATTCACATTTTGGTTGCTGGTTTGTTCTTCTTCTTCTTCTTCTCCTTCTTGCTTGTGTGCTGCTTGTTGTTCTTGTTCTTGTTGACTGTTGCCCCTTGTTTTTTTCTTTCATTAATTTTTTTTCCTAATTATTCTTCTGATTGTTTGTGATGATGACGTTGTTGAAGTTGCTGGTGTGTTTATTGTTGGCATCCTCATGGCTTTGTCCGTTCACATTGATGCCATTGTGAGTTTTGACTGGATAAGAACATAGTGACGGAGTAGCTTTGCAAGAGGAAAGACGGTTCGTATCTCATTGAAAATCCATGTGTCCAACTTGGCCGCGGTTGTGTTCAATGCAGCAGCCAGAGATTGTGCATTGATCAAGCAGTTCTTTCCCTTGATAGGCTCTAGATGTCATGATTCTCCTGCTCCTGAAAAACATGGCATGGAGGACTGGTAAAAGGATGCTTTTGAGATCTATTGAGTGCAGAGGTTTGAGTTTGCTAAGGCAAAGTCCGGTCAGATTACTTTTTGATGCGATGGTAGGGGATCGATCTAATCTGCAGGATGCTCTCGGGCCAAAGCAGTCAAAGCGGGAGGTGACGCTGCGTCAGCCAAAGGATTTTGAGTTTTGCAACACGAGAAATATCGAGAAATCATTTTTTTTGAATTTATGAAGTGAAGAACTCGCAACTGTGCCAGTCTGATTCTCGATCTGATGCCCTGATATGCTGGCTCCTTAGCATAGCTTAGTATTTTGCAGTGGCAACCCTTGAGCCCTTGCAACATAACAAAGCTTGCAGTTGGAGAAAGTGCGGCAGGGGTTGCGGACGTCTAGCCTGGTGTGCCTGTGCAATGCAAAGGAATATGAGCATCTATCCGACCCTGTAAACATTGAGATTAGCAAATCCTGATATTCGGGCTGCCAACTGTAGACAGGCAAGCAAACTCCAGTTGTTTCTCCTAAAAACTCTACTAGAAGTGCTCCTGTGCATTATATTCTTAAGTCGCCAAAGTCTCCTTGAACCACTTAGTCCCGTGGCTTTAGCTGCAGTTCGATGCAAGAGACGCTTGCAATGCCACACAACCACCAAGTCATGCATGCTAAATACCAGCGTTTTTTGCATTCATCAAGGCAAAGAATCGGTTCAAAAAAAGCAAAAAGTGCTGTAATTTACACGGGTTTGGTGCCGTCACGGGCAAAAAACTGCGTAAATACCAGCGTTTCGGCGTCCAAAAGTGGCCAAAACACTTCTATTTACAGTGTTTCGTGCCTTCCACGTTTTCTTGAAATTGCAAAAACAATGTAATACCAGCATTTGTTGCGATCAACCCGCCAAAAATGCTGTAATTCACAATGTTTTTTGCTTTGCTTTCACAAACACTGGTATTTGCAGTGTGTTTGTGCATCCCTGGTCTAAAAAAGTATTGGTATTTACAGCATTTTCTGGGTTTTTGCATTGTTCCCGCAAAAGACGTTAAAACGCACAAATATTCTAATTTACAGCATTTTGTTGATTTCGAAAAGTTAAAAATGTCCGAAAAATGTGTCAAAACGGCACTTTTTTCCGATTTTAGGAACCCTCAAACTGGGAGGGGGGGGTTATGCTCTTGGAGACGCTTATGAGCGACCCGGATTCCGTCCAAAAATCACCACTCAGAGATTTTCAGTTGCTGGTCTGGGGGCTACGTCTGGACCTGCGTTCTCTGACAGTAGCGCTCAAAGCCTCCAACACTCAGGGTCAGCATTTCACATCAGTTGCATTCAGAGCAGTCGCAAACACTTCACGCTCGCAGGCCCTGCAGTCACAACGTGTACTTAGACATACATCCTTAGCCTAAACTTAGCACATCTTAGAACTGCTCTGCCTTTGTTCTTCTTTAAAGAGCACAGACTTTGTATATATATATATATTTATATATAATATATATATATATATTATATTTAAAGGCTTACGCCTGACAGCCGGGCGCCTCTTGGCACCATGTTGGCCCTATGTTGGCCCTATGTTGGCCTATGTTGGGCCCATGTTGGCCCATGTTGGCCCATGTTGGGCCATCTTGGGAGCTATGTTGGGGCCATGTTTGGGCCATCTATGTTGAAACGATCTTAAGATGCCAATTTTTCCGCCCCGGGCCCCCTCCTGGAGCCCAAAACCGAACCGAGGTTTTGTAACATCGCCAAGATGAAATCCCTTCCCGCTGAAGGCCCTGAAACACCGTAAAAAACGATGTTTTCTAACACCGCAAGCACAAAACACCGTGAATTGCGTAGGCTTCAGTCGACACGGGGCAGCGCCTATAACCTTCGGTTACCACCGAAGGCCTCCGGCAAGGACACGGGCTCCGTGGCTGGCGCCCGGATTCAAGGGCTACGCCCTCTGCCGCCGACCCCTGGAGGTTCAGCCATCTTGATCTTTGAGGCAACTAAAGCGCGGACAAAGTCTGCGGCTGGCAGCTGCCTGTGCTTAACGGTGCTTTCTGAACAGGCAAGAAACTAGCTCCACTGCTGTCGGCAGGGGTCGGCGGATATATATGACTTTGTTTTTTCTTGTTCTTACATTATGCATTCGAATGCATTCGGTTCGATTTGGTTGCAAGGCGACTGGGCTGCCAGAGGTGAGATGATTTGTGCAGCAGCGGAGGCTGTTGACTTCGGCCTTTCGATTTTGAATCATACCACGAATCCAGAATATCAACTTGGAAATCAGTTCCAGTTTGATTGGAAGTATTTCTTTTGCCATGTGCTTGACTCCAGCATTTTGCACCATCGGATTCCATCGCTTCATTTTTCCCAAGGAAGAGCTGACACAATAGTCAATTTGCTAACAGTCACCCTCTTTATAACAAGGCATACATGTGCGCAACACTTCCCAGAATCCTGGCCAACAATATTTTCATCTACTCATCCTGCTAATAGCATCTTCCATACAGGTGATCCAACACGATCCAACACGTATATCTGCGACTTGTGCTCAAGTCGCACACATTTACTTCCGATTTGAAGCATTTTGATGCCAGGCAAAACATCAACGGGTCATGTGTGTGCTGACGAACCGTTTGCACTCCCTCCAGGCCGGCTCTACTTGTGGAGATTCACTTTGTAGAGTCCGCAGTTTTCTGTTGCCTTTTAGCAGGCTGGTAATTCTCCAAGGATGTCTAAAGAGTATTTTCCACAATCCTGGCACAAATATATCACTTTCAAGACCCCTGCGATGCTTTTCTCTGTGATACAGTAGCTTTTGGCTTAAGCATTGCTGCACTTATCAAGTATGCGCCTAACAGGGTTTGCGTTCACAGCTTTAAAGGATAGAACAACGTAGAGCTGACTTACATCACAGAGTGTGCACAAGAGGGCTTTGAATGCTATAAAAATCAGCAATCAATCGACATAGTGACATAGGAATGACTTTGAGATAATTTTTGAAGTTCGGTTGAAGTGGAACAAGAGGCTGAGTTGTGCGAGTGTCCTCATGAAGCGCCCTGCATCGAATAAGAGGACCAGAGCCTGAGTAAATTTCTTTGTCAAAGTTTGTCAATTTGTCACTCAAGTCCAGTCTAACATTGGCTAACGCTGTTCCATGCAGCACGACTTTGCACAGCTAGCAGCAACAGTGGCAGATTCATTGGAACTTGGACAAGTCTGTCTACTTCTGCATGAGGGATCATCAGGGTTCATTTTTGTCATTGGAGTGGTGAGATATGGTGGGATCATGTGAGATCATGATCCTATCCAATCCTATCCAATCCTATCCAATCCTATCCAATCCTATCCAATCCTATCCAATCCTATCCAATCCTATCCAATCCTTTCTCCAGGAAAATCCAGACCTCTCACGAGGAGGACTCGATTCATCTTGACGTCAATGAGTTTTGTGAACTTGGTGAGTTTGCACGCGCTGGCATGGAAGCTGTTAAGCTGGCGTTGGAGCGAGCCAATGAATCCCTGGCTGATGGGAGGATCCCAATCTCTGGAGCAGCTGTAGAGCTGACAAAGCCAGGAAAACTGAAAACTGTTACGATTGGTTCCATGGCATATCTACGGGAGAGTTGTCCTTTTCCATCCTTTTCCATCCTTTTCCATCCTTTTCCATCCTTTTCCCCTTTAAACCTTTAACATTAGTTTCTTTTCCAAAGAGAGATCTGGCATGGTGTTGAGTTGTGTTTGCAGCGATGAAGGTCACAATGGTCGGATTCCGCCACTTTCAGGACAATCTGGATATCCAACAGATCATGGGGAAACTGCTGCCATTCGTGAAATTAAAGATGTGTCAAAGATTGCGTGGAGTCGAGTGGTATTTGCAACAACGCTAAGTCCATGCATCATGTGTAGTTCTGCGCTAAAGTGGCTGTGGAAACTGGGTCTCCGGCGTGTTGTCGTGGCAGAGAGCTCCAGCTTTGCAGGAGCGACCCTGTTGGATGAGTTGGATGGGATGACCGTGGTTCGCTTATCAAACTTGAAGGCTCAGTCCATGATGAAGACATTCTCTACACACTATCCTTGGGATTGGGCTGCTGATATTGGGGAGATCCCCCCGGGTGATTTGACTTTCAGTCAATCCTTGGAAACTGCGGATGAACTTGAAGAGTTTTTGAAGAAAATGCACAAGGAGATGAAGCCAGGACATCAAGCTGCAGTGGTTTCTTCCGAGGGCATTCTGGCTTCTGCAGAAGACGAACGACCGCAGAGTGGAGGAAATGAAACTCGCAGTGCGGCAATGATTGCCATGGGATCTGCAGGATCCCAGGTGAATTTAAGAGAATGTGTGCTCTTCTTCAGGGCCTCTGATCATTCTCCCAACGTGAACCTAGATGAGTTTGGTGCAGTCTCAATGGGAGCTTGCAAGTTATTTAAACCTGCAAAGGTGGTGTTGACCGCATCACCTACAGATGAGCTAAAGCTAAGTCTGGAGAACGCAGGCATCCAGGTGCTGGTTGCCAGCGTCAAACTTTGAACTGAGAAACTGCGTTGGGAAAGCGTGATGCCAGCCGCAGCAAACCGCGCGCACGCGCACACACACACACACACACTAGACAAGAATGGATCATTATATGATCCGGTAGGAACTGAATCCTGAAACATGCAGATTAGATACGAAACAATGAAATTAACGATGCATCCCACGAAATAATAGAAGTACTTCAGCATGGTCATCGGGTTCAGAAGCGACATCAAAAAGAATAAATAAACCAGCAATAATATCATCAGCGATGTCTCGGCGAAGATTTCGATTTTGTCGGCGATCATGTAAACAGATTATTCCAAGTAGGCTTTCTACGTCCTTGCTCTGAGGAAGGTTCTGATGCAGCGAAGCAAATCGTAAATGACCAAAATTGATTCCAGATTGCGACAACCGTGAAGTGAAAATACAGCCGTGCGGTTCTAGGCTTGGCCGCGTGCCATGTCAGTCAAAATTGAAATAGCAGGTACGTGACTCCAGCGTCCCAGAGTCATATCAGTCATGAATGCAGCCCTCTTCGTTGGGCAATCAGCTGCAAACATGAGATTGCCCCCCTGCATTGAATTTAGAATTAAAAAGGGAGAGGACAAAGGAAGAAAAGGAGAGAGAAGTTTTACATCTATTTAGATGTTACACACACACCCGGCCGGAGCCGGGTCAACCCTGAAAGGCAAGAGGAAGAAAAAAGCGGACACAGGACGGGCAGACGGCCAAAAACAGCGCAGGGGGGGGAGGGGAACAGACGGACCTCCGGAACCAACCTACACGGCGAAACGGACCTGACCAAAAACAGCGCACACACCTAAACCCCACGACACATTACGGAGAGGCACGCGGGGAAGATTAGGGACCAAATGGGGGACTAGTTAATGACAGGCAAGAAAACCAAAACAATTATATAATTAAAGACAGGATTCAGCTCCTAAACCTAAAGGTCGTGCGTTGTGCCAATCCAGGCCCGTGTTCCAGTCAGCCACAAGGGCATAAAACGGCTTACAAATTCCCTCGAATTAGATGCACAATATGTTTCACCTCACCAGAGGACCAAAAGGAAAGAAAACCACACCTGCAAGACGTGTGCCTGCCTGATTCAAGTGTCGTGACATGATGCAATGACGCTGCAAAAGTTGCTGCAGTAGTAAAAAATGGAGTTTCTGGCAGTTCAGAACGGCTTCACCGTGAGGGATGCATTCCACAGGTTTCACAAGGGACCGCAGGAGCAGCAGGATACTCAAAAAATGGAGCAGAACAGAAGGCCAACTGTTACAATTTACTCAAGCGAATTATCAAATTAAAATTGTTAATTCAGAGTTCAAGACTGTCGACACTCACCCTGAAAAGGGTTGCCTCAAATGGCTCCATGGCACCATGTCGGAGCCACCATGGAAATCACACTAGACAAGAATGGATCATTATATGATCCGGTAGGAACTGAATCCTGAAACATGCAGATTAGATACGAAACAATGAAATTAACGATGCATCCCACGAAATAATAGAAGTACTTCAGCATGGTCATCGGGTTCAGAAGCGACATCAAAAAGAATAAATAAACCAGCAATAATATCATCAGCGATGTCTCGGCGAAGATTTCGATTTTGTCGGCGATCATGTAAACAGATTATTCCAAGTAGGCTTTCTACGTCCTTGCTCTGAGGAAGGTTCTGATGCAGCGAAGCAAATCGTAAATGACCAAAATTGATTCCAGATTGCGACAACCGTGAAGTGAAAATACAGCCGTGCGGTTCTAGGCTTGGCCGCGTGCCATGTCAGTCAAAATTGAAATAGCAGGTACGTGACTCCAGCGTCCCAGAGTCATATCAGTCATGAATGCAGCCCTCTTCGTTGGGCAATCAGCTGCAAACATGAGATTGCCCCCCTGCATTGAATTTAGAATTAAAAAGGGAGAGGACAAAGGAAGAAAAGGAGAGAGAAGTTTTACATCTATTTAGATGTTACACACACACACACTCACAGAACCTAAAGAAGCCTGAGCGACTAGATTTGAAGACATGTTTTTACATGTTTTGTTTCCGCCTCTTCCTTGGATCAAGAGCAGCTAAGAGATCATTGGAGCAAGACCTGCAATTACATCCTGCAAATCGCTGCGCTAATTGATGTTTGACATTCTGTATGCAATCATGCCAGTCTACCACACCCTACTTACCCATTTTTGCTTCAGTAATATCCGTTTTTGGTCAATGAATCCTGGGCCGGAAATGAGGGATGCGCCTGAATTGCAGTCTCGTCCATAGTTGCCATAGATGTTGCTATGTGAAACCAGTCAGCAGCTATCAAGCACTGACATGGATAATTCCTGAGCACCGAAACGCGTCAAGAGATCTCAAGAGCTTAGGCAACTTCGGATTTCGATTGAAGCTGTCCCTGCCTTCGATTCTCATTTTTCTGTCGGTGCTTTTGCAGAGGCCTGGTTTGAGTAACGAAATCAGGATCTCGATCAATCACATTGGAATGGAGACCACACCCAGAAGTTCCGAGTCCTGACAGTTATTTGTTGAGGGTGGAGCCGGGTGCGCTCGAGGAGACGGTAGATCACGACACTTTCGACGCATTGAGTGTGCAGTCGCACACGATCAATGGCCTGCGTCCAGACGTGGAATATTTCACCAGTTTGCGAGCACTGGGAGCACTGGGCATCGGAGGAGAAAGCAGCAAAGTCACTCTTTCTCATCGAACGGGGAGAGGCATGCATTGTGGCATGGGAGCCGCTGAAGAAGTGCAGCCTGCAGGTCCTAGTCCTTCAGGTGCTTCTTACTTTCCTGGTCTTGGTGACGTTGAAGGCTGTCACAGCCGCTGTGAGGGCAACAGGCAGTGTGTCACCTTCCAGGTGAATGCAGGCAATGCTTGTTGGTTGTATCGTCGGAAACCAGAGCGACAGATCTCTGGGCCACGGTCTGATCCAGGTTGGTGGTGCGCTGTTCGGAAGGAGTAGAATAAGTGGAAAAGTAGAGACGCCGTGAATGACCACATGGGCCAATGCATGGCTCCATTACAATGGGCCAATGCATGGGTTAGTTGGGCTGTGTTTGGCTTAGGTGCCAATGTTCACAAGCTACCAACGTGTATCTAAAATATGCTGTGGTGCAGCGCGGCGCAGCATCTGAGATGAAGCAGAGTGGTGGAGTGGTGCTCTTCGCAGTGCAAGCCAAACGCATATTGAGAGCCTAGTAAGATCATAGCACATCTGTCATCACTCTGTGAACAAATGTGAACAGGCGTTTCGCACTTCTTGGGAAGCAGGAGACATAGTGGCGTTTGTCCAGAAATTGGAGGCCACCTCAAAAGAGTCGGTGTTTGCTCCTTCCTATGGAAGTCATGTGAGTCTACAATATATAGTACGCGGTCATTGACATGCAAGGACTGAGCAAATTTCAGCCTTTTGCCAGGCTTGCAACGACAATTCTCTACCGGCAGCTTTTCTCAGCCGCTTTGCAGAGTAAGCTGCCTACGTTTGAAATTTGAAGTGTTCTCAGTTTACTGAGCGCTTTTCTCTGGTCTTGGATTGCTGTATTCATTGCCAGGCATCCAGAAGAACTTCATCCTGCAATTTTAGCAAGGTGGGAAATGATCTGCTTTGCATATTGTTCATATCCTATGTATTTTTATGACATTGTGACGAGCTGCAGGTTATTGCCGATGGCCCAGAAACTAGTTCAGGCCAATTGCGAGGACCGTTTTCTCAAAACGCATGCATCTTGCCTGGATTGCCTGCCAACATGATCCACAGTTGATAGATTTGCAAAGGCATGGACAAGTCATGGTGGAAAAATTGTTTGAATCCAGCAACTCTACAGTGCCAGCTTCAGCTCAAAGTGTTTTGACTCCCCAGTACGGGCAAATCAAACTATATAATACTATATATCAATATGTCAATATCAATCTGGGAATTGAATGAATCAGCAAACCTTAATCAAACTTTCCTCCAGAACCTTTGGATCCTCCAGCAGAGGCAAGAGTATTAACCCAACAGCAGATTCCAGGATCCTAGGGTCCCAAGGTTCCAGCATTCCGGTTCCAGTCCGCTTTTTGGGCTCGGCAAACAAACGACGCACCACTCCCAGATCCAGAGATTGAAAACAAACACTCACTGCTATTCGGAATTTCTTTGGAAGTCTGAAATGCCATAAGACCTGTGAGGAGCATGCAGTGGCAGCCGTTCGCTTTGCACTGCAGTTGCTACACGCCTGGAGCAGAGAATGTGTTTTTTTTTTTACACCAAGAGACAGCAAGAGACAGCAAGAGACATTGGAACAGTTTGGAACATCCACCTGGATCACCTGAGGTCTCATGGCCTGGTGTTGCAAAAGCGCTGAAGAGTGCAGGGACTCCACGAGCCGATGCCTCAACCCGATCGATTTCTTTCAGGTTTCAGAGCTGTGTGTTTCTGCACAATGTTGGCCCCACAGGCCCCACATTTACTCTATGTACAGTCAGTATGTGTCATATTGGGTGATTTTTCCCTTGTTCGGGTTCGGTTCTCGGGTCACTGTCACGGCTCCAAGAAAACAAACAGTGTGTGTCTTATTAGCAGGTTGGATGATGTTCGAGTATGTTGGATGATCGAAATGCCTAGGTTCTTTTCAAAGCTTGCGAGGAGGTTGGGGGTTTGAAAACCTGCAGCCAAATGGCCCTTGGTACTGCAAAGTTCCCTTCTTTCTCTCAAGTTTCCTGTCTCTGAGTGTCAGGTTGTATATCAGCTCCAATCAATGTGCCGGCCTTATATTCAAGGATATCTACTTGGATTTGCTTTTTACAATTCTGCATTGCTTCTATTCTTGTTCTCTTGAGCTCTTTTATATTAATTCTTTTTGTCCAGGTTCGCCGTTGTCAAAACACTCTCGCGATCGGTGAAGATCTCCAAGACCAACGGTCCGCTGGTTCTGACCTCTATTTACGGCCAAGGTTGCTCAAACAATAATCTCGTTGGACAGTCATTTCGAACTTGGGGGTTCAATTACTGCTTGGATGCACTGGTGTTTGTAATCACTGGCAATCCCTTGTCACAAGGTGCCCCTATGCAAGAGACTCAAAGGCAATCTCGAGGAGGCATAGTTGCTGAAGTTTCTGGTTACTGCAATTGTTCTACTGGCTTTCGCCTAGCAGTTGGAGTTGTGAATGGGTCGCGCCCGTTTCAAAGCGGTCATTGGGCATGCGTAGAGAAGTGATAGTCCAGTCACTATTCAGCAATGATGTACAATGATGTTGATTTGGGGAATAACGGATACCTGGGCCCTAGTGTCACTTATTTTCAGGCTTTGTGGGGCCGTTTGGGCACAGTGGCACTTTGGCAGGGTCAGACCTTTTGTACAGTCTATGCGTTCATAGCAGTTGCCGATTGATTTTACAGAAGCTGTCATTATGATTTCGTGGAAAACGTATCAAATGGCATAATAGTGATGACAATGTTGTCATCAAATCACCGCGATGTATTATGATGTATTATGTATATAATTTTGGGGCTACGGCACACTCGAACGTAGAAATTCAGGGCTAAAAGCGACCCAGCTTCATCGGGGGTAGGCTGCAGCTGGCCCATGTACAAACGTACTAGAGGTTGCAGACATGCTTGGATGATCTTGGAATCTTGGATGAAGATGCGATGATGCCAACCTCCAACGGCGAACAAAATTGCTGGGATGATTATGATTCCGTCAATGACATTGCCTGAGAGATGTAGCGTGTTTGAAATGTAGCACTGCTCCGCTGGTATTTGTAGCCAGCTGATTGGAACCACATCCAAACCTCCCTACTTGAAATCTCGGTTGATGTAGAAGTCTAAGCAGCCGTGAAGATATTTCCCACCATTGTGCGAGGCGCTTGCCAATGTTGGACGCCTCAGAAGCTGACGCAAGCACCGGTGCGATCGCGCGATCGAGAAAAGGATGATGGGCATTTTTGGGATACACTGGACAGAGGGTCGCTGTGGTATTGAAGCTGAAACTTGCCTGCATCATCCGTAGATAGGGGTAAAAGGTTGTAACATGTTGTAACCTTGTCCACAGCGGCCGTGGTTCGACCTATGTTCCATCTCCTGGGCATTTGAACTTGGCCTGGTAACAATTGTGGGATGCCTCAAGGCCTCCAGCAGGGTTTGCAAATGTCTGCATTGTCTGCAGTCAGATGACTGGTCCAATTGCAAATTGCAAAGCCGTTCTTGGTCCAATGCTTCTGACGGGGCTTTGCTTGTCACGAAAGCTAGCATCAGCTAGCTGAAGTTACTCGTGCTTCAGCAAGGAATATGGCAGGGACTGGAATCATGTCTTGTGAGAAACTTTGATGTAAAGACTTAAAGACCTTACTTTTTCCCAACGGATCTTGTAATCAAAAGGTAATAGGCTTGATCCCCCCAGGTCCCTGAACTTTCAACCTTACATGACTTACATGTGCATTAGGTGCATTCTTTCCTCACCAAACCCTCCTTATCCATACTTGGTACTTCGGGAAAGCCTCCCTCCCCCAGCACAACAGCACAACACCTGCTTTTCTTGTCCAACCACACGTTTCCAGGCAAAACCTTCCCTGCGCCTGGAAATTTCTTCACCTGACAAAAAGCAATGCTAGCTTTCATCACACACCCTGGCCTCAAGTGTGCTTTGTTTGGAGAGATTTATATAAGAATTGCATGAGCATGGTTGCATAGACAAGTTGAAGGGTCAATGGCCGAATAGCCAGGCTTAAGTCTTGTGCTTGCGTACCTTCAAGCCCCTCTCTACAACGTGCAAACACCATGAGATACGCAATCAGAAGCCGATAATGATGAAAGTCACTTGCTGGTAGCTGGAAACAGCAATGGCACATCCAGAATCCAATTGATACTTCTGACAAGGCTTTGCTTGTGGGCTTTGTTTGGAGAGATTTATATAAGAATTGCATGAGCATGGTTGCATAGGCAAGTCGAAGGGTCAATGGCCGAATAGCCGGGCTTAAGTCTTGTGCTTGCATACCTTCAAGCCCCTCTCTACAACGTGCAAACACCATGAAATACGCAATCAGAAGCCGAGAATGATGAAAGTCACTTGCTGGTAGCTGGAAACAGCAATGGCACATCCAGAATCCAATTGATACTTCTGACAAGGCTTTGCTTGTGGGCTTTGTTTGGAGAGATTTACGAATTGCATGAGCATGGTTGCATAGGCAAGTTGATGGGTCACTGGCCGAATAGCCAGGCTGAAGTCTTGTGCTTGCGTACCTTCAAGCCCCTCTCTACAACGTGCAATCACCATGAGATATGCAATCAGAAGCCGAGAATGGTGAAAGTCACTTGCTGGTAGCTGGAAACAGCAATGGCACATCCAGAATCCAATTGATACTTCTGACAAGGCTTTGCCTGTGGGCTTTGTTTGGAGAGATTTATATAAGAATTGCATGAGCATGGTTGCATAGGCAAGTCGAAGGGTCAATGGCCGAATAGCCAGGCTTAAGTCTTGTGCTTGCATACCTTCAAGCCCCTCTCTACAACGTGCAAACACCATGAGATACGCAATCAGAAGCCGAGAATGATGAAATTCACTTGCTGGTAGCTGGAAACAGCAATGGCACATCCAGAATCCAATTGATACTACTGACAAGGCTTTGCTTGTACATTTGTAGATGGGGCAAGACTGAACGCTCCGAAGTTGATACTACAGACTATTTTATTTCTTTGCAGACTCCCACGGTTGTGATCCGTACCTGCCTCATCTGGACGTGTGCGTTTTCTTGAGGAGCAAGATCTTGGTATGACGAATCGTCACATTGAGAGAACTTGGGGAAATTGTTGCGAAAGAACTTCTGCAGTTGAATGTCTTGAAGATTGCAATGGCAGAAGTCCAATTGTATCACAGTACAGGTTGTTCAGGGTTTGCTTGAAACTTTCATGCTTTTCTTTTTTGCGAAATTTGTGGATTTTGTGTTGCTATTGCAGTTATGGTTCGGTGTGTGTAAAAACGCGTGAGCGTGGTCACAGTGTGCCTTATATATATAATATATATATATGATATGATAGTTATACATAATACATATCATAGATGTATATATATATATGAAATATATCCTTTTAAAACTTTTCTCTTTTTCACATTTGGAACCTATGCCGTGTTTGCATTTTTGCTCGAGGGCGTGGTCGTCATGGCCTAAGGCCTGACAGCTTCGCTCATGTTTTTAGGATGAAATGACATGGCGTTCGGTGCACCCAGTAGAAACACAGGGGATTAGCGTAAAGATTGACAGAGATGACAAAACCCAGCAAAATATGGACTGACACTGTCATCAGTGTGTTCTTGGAGATATCCGTGTCTGACAACTAGAGCGTTTATGGCGCTGCTTCCTTGCTGGTGACCGCTCGGTACTGAATCGCTGGAAAGGGTTCCCAAATTTGAAGAGCAGGGTCGGGCAAGGTTGCTGTGGAAGTATCATGACTCGTGACCTACATGTTTGTCATAAATCCCAGGAAATTTGCGAGCTCAATCTTGGATATCTTCAAAGTTGTTGAGTTCCCATGGCAATATTTTTTCAGGGGCACGGCTCCAGAGCGGTCTTTTGCGCCTCAATCTCCCCGACCGGAGAGTTTTCCTATGTTGGCACGGCTGCAAAGTTTGGATTGCTGAGGTTGGTGCTAAGCAATCATTTTTGACAGCTCAAGATGGAGGCGAGTGGTCTTCCCATTGCCAACTCTCTTCTGCTGAATTGACTAGCACAGCACGTGATTAGGCCCTTGAACAAAGCCGGCCGTAGCGAAGCGTGAAAACTTGTTTCGCACACAGCATACTGACATCTAGTATTGTTGCACACTGCGTACTTGACTTGTTCAGAGGACACATATTTGCACAGAGAATACATCACCAATTTGAGCGGTAGTGACAACTTCTATGATTTGTGAATCGTCCTGTTTGTTACGTTGCATGCTCACTTTTTAAAGAACGTGTGTTGGTACGTATCTGCTTGACCTCTCTGTGACAGGACGAACAGAAGAGCCAAATGGTGACAGTTTCTGTCATCACCCTTGGCGGCACCACAGAAGAGGCCGCTCTTTGACCCTGAGAAACTTTTGAAAACGTCGGAAAGAGCTCTGTCCGTGTGCAGGCGGTTCTCATCACAGTTCCACGTGATGTGCCCCTGGGGGATGTGAAGAAGGCACTACAAGAGAGCTGTTCAGAATGACTGACCATACTGTCTGAGTGTCTTGTCGGTATACCTTTGCGGTGGATGAAGCGTGCCGCTGCTGTTTTCTTGATGCTGAAAATGGTTGAGATTCTAACCTGTCCTACCAGCTTTGCATTGCTTTCCACCTTTCTCAAAGTCTTCTGAATTTCGCAGGCTCTAGCAGATATGTTTGATCGTCCAGAGGCCGAAGTTCCTGACGATTTTGGCTGACGGTCTTGTTTGTCTTGTTGGGCCATTCTGTCAATGAACTTACTGCAGCAGTTCAACTGGAGGAAGTCCAACTTTTGTTTCGAGTGATTGCGCAAGCGGAACTCAAGAACTTGGCAATTTTGATGCGTGCAGAACAGCTTCGTATGTGTTCTTGGTTCCAGCATGGCATGCATGTATCCTAGATTCACATAGATTCACTGCGAGTGGAGAGCTTAGCATTTAGCGGTCATGCAACACCATGCAACATGTGTTGTATCACGCAGATCGCCTCCGACGGCCGCTTTCTCAAAAAGATGCCGAATGGTGTATCCCTGGCACTGATTTGGAGATATTTGGAGCATGGGTGCAAAATGTGCAAAGTGGAGATTACCTTGAAGATTACAAAAGGCAGTTTAAAACTGCCAGGCCACTGTGAACATGCACGACAATCAGAAGCTAGGATCCAGGACGGATGCTGTGGTTTGCATTGAGCTTTTCTATAGTGCAGATATTGCAGGAAGGAACTTATTTACGAAGGTCCTGCACTCGCACTAGCGCCAGAGGCTGCTTCTGATGCTCCTTTGTGGCCCAGCAATCAGCAATCGCAGGATAAGTTCAAGTTTGTTTGCAAGAGAGAAGATTCACAGAAAACATGAAGAAACAGCAGAGCACACGGGAAGAGTCAGAGGGAGAGAGAGAGAGTTTCCGCACTTTTGTGAAGGCCGTGCCTTTGCTCACCCTGGAAGAATTTGACGGCCCAAAGCTGAGCAGACCACAACATCCGCAACGGTATGCCTCAAAGATGCCTTGACGCGTGAAGTCTTGTTGACGTCTTGTTCAAGCCTTCCAAAGTCTTCTTCTTGAATCTGAAACCTGCAGGCTTTGATGAGAAGGTAGAGGTCCAATCTCCACGCTCGTACTTTGGCATTTCAGGAAACGGGAAAGGGTTGTTACGGCGTTATGGTCTTTACATTGCTGCCACATGTCACTACTATATCAACCCAGTTTCAAAAACTCCGAATATCTTTGCTGTGCAAGTTGTCCTTATTTGGAACTCAAGATAACCTCCGCTCCACGATCTCACCGAACATGTGTTGAGTTGAGGCATCATTACGCGTTGACTGATGAACGCAATTGATTGTAGATGTATGATATGATGTATGTTGTATTAATCTGTATGATGATCTGTAGATGTTGTATTATGTTGTCATAGACTCTACGCCATTCCCACAGCTTCTCGATCCCACAGCCAAGAGCCCAAGAACCCTATCTTCTGCCCACAACGTGCCATTGTGTAAGACTTCTGAACACTTTGAATGTGCAGAGACGACAAAGAATCCATGGCAGGAGTTTGGCTGACTACAAATGAATTGGAATCACACACACACATATATATATATATACACACCTTGCAAGGTTGCAAGGCATGCCATGCCTCAACAATCTTCAACACACAGAAAGAGAGGTGCTTGTTCAAACGCATGAACGCCCCAGGCAGCAGTATGAAGGAGACTTCAAGTCGAACTAGCACAGATTGTGATAAGGTGAGAAATGTACTGTACGATATGTTATTCAGGAACGAATTAGACACATCGAACAGGCCCCAGAGATAGATCAAGCACGCCCAAAGCAAAAGATTATGAAGATGGCCTAAGATGGCAAATATTTAGGATCTTGTGAGGAGAGGATCCAATTTGAGCATCTTCTTTGGAACGGCACTCTTGCATTGTGTTTATTTATTTTATACATTTTTATACGTGTTTTAAACCAGTTGTTTGCTGAGTGGACTGAAGCCTTTCTTCAATGCGCCGACACCTAAGGCTTCGTGCTCTGGAGCTTCAAGGAGTTGTGCTGGATGTTTGCGCCCCAGCCTGCGTGTGCTAGCCGTCTCTAGCGAGCATTCGCGGAAGCATTGAGAATCATGCGGAGAATGGAAGATCCATCTCCATTCTTAAATTGTTTTTCTATCAGTTTTCTTAAAATTGCACCAAGCGAGTCTCAATCGCTGGCAGCATACGCGAGAGTGAAAGGAACATCCACACGGAGATGCAACAAAAACCTTTGGAGTACTTGACACAGAGATAATTGAGATCTTTTTTTTAGCTGAAGAAAAACATACTACACCCATAAATCAGACTTTATGGAGTTTGTAACAGATAGTTTCTGAAGACAATAATGCCGACATGGCGTTGGAATCCAGACAGATTTGTGAGCGAAGAAACAATGCAGAAACAATGCAGAAACAATGCAGATAGATTAACAGATAGAAGAAAATGCTAACAGATGCCTTGAAACTTTAGCGAAAGATTATCAGATGCGCGCTCTCAGTCTCACAGTTTCACACTTCCAATGACTTGTAGGAGAATACTAACTGCCAGTTGAAGAATTCATCTAGTCTATAGGGCAATTCGTTTACTACACATATATAACGGACTTGAGATCAGCCAGAAAACAGACAGACCAAAGTCTAGAGTCATACTAGGGTTCCTGATCTACTGAAGACAAAGGTCTAAGAGTTACCGCAATGTCTCGCATGATCTGAGAGGAGATACCCAAGCTTGCAAAGGGTCTTCGGAAATGCACCGAAGCCAGCCATAGAAGCACCTTTGCGAAAAGGGCAGATTCACTGACAAGGAAAGGATTGAGGTACACGTACCTCTGTACAGTCTAGCTTTCGACATTATGATTCCAGGATTCTTGGACATTCTTGGGACATTCTTGGGACATTCTTGGGGCATTCTCGGGACATTCTTGCTTCGTGGCAACGATAACATCCTTCTAAGGAGCTCTACTACGCTCCGCCCGAATGCTTTTGGGAGTGTGCTCCTCAATATTGGCAAAACCGCAGCAAATCTGGACTATCAGTTGCATCACGACAATGGCCACAATGGCCTTCTCTTGGGAATATCGTCGATTGTCTTACAAACCCTAAGCACAAATCACATTTGACAAGCGAATCAGCAAATCCATTGTGCATGGCGCTCAATCCGCAGGCCAGGGCTTGATACGATGATTGTGAAGCTTCACCACGACTTCTTCGAGGCCTTGTGGCTTTTGTGAGGTCTTGAACAGGGTTGATGTGGCATGACGTAACCGGCGCAGGGCACTTTTTCACATGTTATTTCAGCCTTTCTTTCCCCAATGCTTGAGCTACTTTCGCCGCAGGCTTGGAGACAAGACACCTTGGACATGTGCCGGCTCCAACGAGACCGAGTGATGTCTGAGGCGGGAGAAATCCTTCAGACCGGTCTCGTTGGCGTTAGATCAGACGGTCATGACATGTTCACAACGACGCAGGGTCCAGGAGAGGATGCACAGCTGGACCCTAAGGGACCCTCACTGACACGGTATGGTACACTTTAGACTTCCAAAGGTTCATATATTATCATGTCTATAATATCTACAAATATACATACAATCATATACTTTATACTATACTGTACCTATGAAGCCTATAATAACTATAAAAATAATAGGTTATTCTAGACTTTAACTGTTGCCACCCGCTCTTCAGTTCTTTACAACCATATCAGACTGTGCTGCAGTTCCAGTGGCTGCACGCTGAGGCTAGATCAAAGGCAGGAAAGCATGGACAAGATGACCTGAGTTCAAGACTGTCCTATCAAGATGCAGCAGATTCATAGATGGTCCAAGTAGGTGGAAGCATTGAAACGAACACATATTGAAACTCTGACGCAGTACGCGCGAATGGATGATCTCTGTAAACTCAAGTTCTGGACTCAGAGGTTTTTGTCAAATTAGATGGCGCAGCAATGTGTCAACAAAGAGCCTGCTACTCATAATGCCCTCGTATCCGACTCGTATCCGAATCGTATCCTGCCTTCTGTTTTCAACTTTAATCAAGGCAAGCCTGAAGCTGGAGCAACCCGAACGGAACAGCCAAGCACTGAGCTTCCGACACGAAAACAAGGAATGAAACACAGTGTTCCTGATTTACAATCAGTTTTCTTGAGGCCAACTGAGAAGTCCTGCATACCGCGCTTCTACAACACAGAGAGCCTGAAACCTGACCCAGAGTTTGCAAACCATGATGCGGTCAGTCCCAATCTTGCTCCTATCCTTTTCAGAACCAGTGAAGACAGACGCAACATGAGTTGGAAATCTTTCAGGATCTTCAACGTTTGATTTTCACGCGATCATGATCATGCCTCTGGGTCTTGCTCCAGTTGGATCATATATTATAAATTATAATTGTATGTATATATATATAAATATATATATATGTACACATATATACATGTATACATTTACATACACATAAAACAGATAATTCGCATGGATTCTCATCATGGGCTCTGCATTTTTCTGTCGAGCGGAATTGACGACAAAGGCAGCCCAGAGGAGAGGATTTATGGAACTGGTGGAAACTGGCAGTAGCCCAAGAACGTCAAATCAATGAACATCTGTCCAAAATGACGAGTTTGTTATATCCAGACTGCTGATTTAGTTATCCTGGAATTTCTCAGCTCTCAAATGAAATATGTGAAAGAAAGCGCTCCTCAAAGCTTATAAGATCCCGCTGAGCCTGCAGATGTTCTTGACGAAGTGAGCAGAAATCAGAAAGCGGTGTCATGTGAGTACCGAGTCATAGCAGCGTAGCACTACTAGTAGCACTACTAGTAGCACTCAAGATCCTCAGAGACTCAGAGATTCAGAGCCTCTGCAGTCTTTGCACTGCACGAGCTTGCTGCACGAGCTTACTGCACGAGCTGCAGGTCTGGAATCCTGGAGCCTCACACGTGTAGTCCCTAACTCCGATATCTCAAAGCTGAAACGCCTTTCCAGACTCAGGAAGTTGTCAAATCTTGTATGTTTTTTCAAGGTATCCACTGACGATGCAGTTTTTCGAGGCAGGTGGATTTGCTTGAAACCGTCTGGTTTCAACACTTAAGGTTTGTGGTGGTTTTCGGCAGATTTGACGGCGTTGGACTGCTGAAGTGCAGCTAGACTGAAGCGTTGCGCTAACTCAAGGACCTCCAGTACTGGATGCAACCGGACAAGGCTTGGCTTTCTGAACATGCATCATGGCTGTATGTATTCAGACTAATTCAGATATGATACAGGCAGTGTAGACTTGCATGCAATTGAAGCGTGGCAGGTCTTCGAAAGGACGTATCAAGGTCAGAAAAAACTGATGCTGGCCCCTCACTCCCAGCTGGCAGATGCAAAGTCGACGGCGCACTGGCGCTTGATGCCAAGGAAGCAATCCCATGGAGCAAAGCCGTCTCCCAAAGGCAGTTTTGGGTTTTGGCTCCTGTGTTTGTCACAACAGCCGGTGGCAGCTCATGTGCTGTGGGGGAATCCCTGTAGGAATTTCCATTCCGGAGCGTTTAGACTTGGATGCTGGGATCTTGGTCCATGTCCAAATCCATACTCCTCAATAGTCCACCCTTGTGTCGGTGCCGAGGCTCCTGGTATCAAAGTGAAAGATGCGTCCAAGGAGGTTGCAAAGTCGGCCTGGCTGAAATTGATAAACTTGATCATCATTGACAACCATCGGATGATACCATCGGATGATTCCAGCAGTTCCAGGCGATTTCAACTTGCTTCGGAGTGCAGACAGACCAGACTGGTGCCGCATTGTTTTGAATTGATCATTGTCAGGATGGTTGGAGAACTGCGGAGGATTCCTCGAGAAGCCAAGCGTCCTCAAGCAGTTTCATTAGCAACAGCCTTAGATCTACAGCAAGAGTAACTTTGTACAAACCGGGCAAATATTTGATTCACAAAGTCAATGCTCCTTTCAAGCTGTCACTTCTAAGGGAGCTCCCAAAACTGTAAGATTAAAATCACCCACGATACGAAGTTGATAGTTGCTGCATGTTGATGCAATCACCAGTTAGCCTTGCGCCAGGCTTCGAATACCTTGTCTGTGGCGGTTGTGCAAGGGCCTTCCGCTGTCGATGCTGTGAGATGCGTTTTCGATGCCTTCATTTTTTTCTTCAAGACATGGAACGCATGAGGATTGTTCCTAGGCAAAGACGTGAAAACGCAAAAGCACGCCGTGCCGCTGTGAAGGATGCAAAGAGCTTACCCTGCAATTCATGCAATTGCTGACTTCCTGAAAGTGGGATATGGACAGTGAACGGAGTGAACTACGCGTGAAACGGAGTGAACCATTCTGAAGGCATCTAAAGGCACTGAAGGCATAAGAAGGCATAAGACAAGCCAGAAGGCTTTGCAGCATCCTCTTCGTCCTCTCCTGGACCTGTGCTTTGCACATCTTTGCACCACTGAGGTCATGTCTCATGCGGAGCGAATCTCTCAGCAAATCACTGGATATCACCAGGCCATCTTCAAATCTTGAAGTGCCAAGCTATGCCAAGCTATGCTAAGCTTTTGCATCTTGGGGTGGCACTGTTTGGTGGCACTATGTGGCACTGTTTCATGTTACATGCTGTTACAAGTAGAACCCGCGCGAGGCGGGTGGCGGAAGTTTCCAGGTTTAAGAAGTGCAACGCTATAGGATCCAACAGCAAAGTTTGCCTATAGGAGCTGCGGCAGACTTCCACGCTCTTTTCCGGGACTTCTGACCTCTTGTCGCAAATTGTGAAACCACTTCTCAACTCTTCCAACGATTTCTCACCTCTCGTCAACTCTTTTCAACGACCTTCATTTCTGTGCACATCTTCTTGACACTCCTCAACTCTCTTTTCATCTCTCTCTTCTCCTCTCAACTCCTTTGAACTTGTGTTGACTCACCTCGCCTCAGTTCCACCTGTCCAATTTTTTCTCAGCCCAGTCGAAGTGACACAGTTGCAAACTTTCTTGTTCAGGCCAGTTGAACTGCCTTTCCATTCGATCATGGTTTCAACATTCGATTGTGTTATCATTCTCGTGTCATGTACTATCATTCAATCCTACTGGGCTGTTGACTGTTACCTGTGGGTCCAACGTTCAAGCACGCTTGGGCTGCAGCATTTTCCATGCACAAAGTACCTCAGCACATGCAAACCACCATAGCATTGCAACACACGCGAGCCAACTTTTCTCCGCAACGGACCCCTCCGGTTACCCTGAAAAAAAAACAATGTTTCGTGCAAATCCTAACATTCAAATCCCGTCCATGATGCAGCACCAATGCGATCTGCCAACAATGACTTGCAAAACGCAATCAGAATCGCAAGATGGTACTCGAGAACAAGTACCCTTCGAGAAGCCTTGGCGCAGCCAGTCCACAGCGATCTGCACAGACTGAATTGCACAACATAATAGAATTGCAACACACTACTCTACAACACATCACTTTGATGAACCAGTTCCAATGCACAAAGTGTCTCAAGGCATGCAAAACACAATAGCACAGCATCAACAAAGAAGAGAAAAAGTCACCTGGAACCCTCAGTTGCATTGTGCGCGCAGTTCGAGCAAGATTCCACGGCAAAGCGGCGACGCCCCAAACCGTCGCGCGCGCGTGCCAACTTTTCTCCGGAAGGGTACCTCTGTTTACACGAAAAAACACAATGTTTCGCGCAAATCCTAACAGTCAAATCGCATCCAGGATGCAGCAGTTCCAATTGCGATCTGCCAACAGTGACTTGCAAAACACAATCAGAATCGGAAGACAGTATATACTGGAGAACAATTACCCGTCGAGAAGCCTTGGCGCAGCCATTCCACTGCGATCTGCACAGACTGAATTGCACAACTCAATAGATTTGCAACACACTACCCTACAACACATCACTTTGATGCACCAGTTCCACTGCACAAAGTGTCTCAAGGCATGCAAAACACAATAGCACAGCATCAACAAAGAAGAGAAAGAGGCACCTGGAACCCTCAGTGACATTGTGCGCGCAGTTCGAGCAAGATTCCACGGCAAAGCGGCGACGCCCGAAACCGTCGCGCGCGCGTGCCAACTTTTCTCCGGAAGGGTACCTCTGTTTACACGAAAAAACACAATGTTTCGCTGTTTCGCGCAAATCCTAACATTCAAACCGCATCCATGATGTAGCAGTTCCAATTGCGATCTGCCAACGATGACTCTGCTCTGCTCTACGCTGCTCTGCTCTACTCTGCTCTTCTCTACTTTGCTCTTTTCTCGCCTTCTCTACTCTATACGCGCCTATACTCTGCTCTACTCTATTCTACTCATCTCTCTTCTTCTTTTTACTACTCTGCTATACCCTGCTCTACTACAGAGTTTTACGCTACCCCTACTCCACCTCTACTCTACCTTTACTCCGCCTCTACTCTACCTCTACTCTACTTGTACTCTACCTCTGCCTCTACCCCTACCTCTACCCCTGGAAACTCTTCTTTGCTCTACGCTGCTCTAAACGCTGCTCTAAACGCTGCTCTAACCGCTGCTCTAAACGCTGCTCTAAACGCTGTTCTAAACGCTGCTTTAAAATGCTTTAAACTCTGCGCTAAACGCTGCTCTAAACGCTGCTCTAAACGCTGCTCTAAACGCTGCTCTAAACGCTGCTCTAAACGCTGCTCTACTCTTGTACTCTTCTCGACTCTACTCTTCTCGACTCTACTCCTCTATGCTCTACTCTGCTGATCTCTGCTCTGCTCTGCTCTACTCTACCTCTGCTTCTGCCTCTGCCCTCTACCTCTACCTGTATGCCTGTATGCCTGTATACCTGTATACCTGTATACCTGTATACCTGTATACCTGTATGCCTGTATGCCTGTATACCTGTATACCCGTATACCTGTATACCTGTATACATGTATACCTCTCCTCTCCTCTCCTTTACCCTACTCTACCCTACCCTACTCTACCCTGCCCTACTCTACCTCTACCTCTACATCTACATCTACATCTACCTCGTCTCTACCTCTTCTCTACCTCTTCTCTACCTCTTCTCTACTCTACCTCTGCTCTACCTCTACGCAGGTGCCAACCGGACACAGTGATCTTTGGGCCGGCGAGAATGTGACTTCATGATCTCTTAAGGCACATGCCAACCGGACACAATGATCCTTGGGCCAATGTGACTTCATGATCTCTTAAATCACATGCCAACCGGACACAGTGATCTTTGGGCTAGTGAGAATGTGGCTTCATCATCTCTTAAGGCACGTGCTAACTGGACACAATGATCTTTGGGCTGCTGAGAATGTGAACATTCCAACTGGACACAATGATCTTTGTTCTACCGAGAACGTGACTTCATGATCTCTTAAGGCACATGCCACCTGGACATTATGATCTTTGGGGGGGATGTGACTTCATGATCTCTTAAGGCACATGCCAACTGGACACAATGATCTTTGGGCTGCTGAGAATGGAACTTCATGATGTCTTAAGGCACATGCCAACTGGACACAATGATCACGCGACTTCATGATCTCTTAAGGCACATGCCAACTGGACACAATGATCTTTGGGCTAGTAAAAATGTGAAAGTCCGTAACTCGGAGTTTCCTCCATGAAACTTCGTTTGATAAGTTATATGGTTTTAAAATTTAAGACGCGTCTCAATTCGCCCAGCTTTGGAAACCTGAGGTCAATGGCATCGCTTGCGGAGGGGCAGAGAGAAGCCACAGATGCTCAGATCAAAGAGGCCACGGGGCTGCTTGGACATGTTGAACCGTTGTTTTGAATTGCATCTGTTGCCCATGATCTGGTTCCTTACATTTTGGTTTCAAGATGTTGAGAAGACCCCAGAAAGAATTCTCATCCCAAAGATGGCGCTGGGAATTTGATCTCGCAATTTTTTGGCTGCAACAGTAAAGGAAAAATTCGAGCGAAAATGGCACTTTGTAAACGAGACTTGAAACATGGAGTCACAACCCTGTTGATGCCCACCCCTGTAACCCTTTGCAAACCTTCGGTCTTGTTTCGCCAAAACCTTGCAACTCGCCCGGAGTTGAACTGCAGTTTTCCAGCTTTGCACTTGTCTGGCTTGAAGTCCTTCTCACAGTACCCATACATGCACCTGTAGACTACGCATGTGTTTGACATTTGCATGCCAAGTCATACCTACATGATTCCACGGTCTACAACGCCTTCCCCTGGTGTTAAAAAAATGCTGATTAACACCATAGTAGGCACGAAATCTAGAAATGAGCGATGTCTTGTCGACCAAGTATTTTTCCCCAACAGCAGAATGCTTTGGGGTCTCAGCCCACATAGCCTTCGGGGTGCTCCGGGGCACTGCTCGACCCTGCCGCCTCGTTTCGCCGGTTCCGGGAACCAGGGTTCCGAGAACCGGTTCCGGGAACCAGGGTTCGGGGCAAGGTTCCGGGAACCCAGGGTTCCGGGAACCAGGGTTCGGGGCAAGGTTCCAGGAACCCAAGGTTCCGCAAACCAGACTTTCAAGCAAGGTTCTGGGAACAATGGGTTCTGGCTACCTTTTGGGTTCCGGGACGTCAAGGTTCCGGGAAGGTTCCGGGCACACTTGGCTTTCGACAAGGTTCCGGGAACCTTACCATGGTTTCGAGCAGCCAGAGCCTGGATTGTGCCAAAGTTCTGGAATCACCGGAACACCAATTTTGAGACATCCTGCAAACCCAGAGTTTGGGGAACCAGGATTCTGGCAAGGTTCCAGCAACACTGGGTTCCGACAAGGTTCCGAGAACCACCACAGATGCGGACCCACAGTTTGGATATACTTCCTGGATTATGCCACAGGTTCCGGACAGGGACAAGGTCAGAGTTCTGGCAAGGTTCCGAGGTTCCGGAAACAACCCAGGGGTCGGATATACGCCGTGGGTTGTACCAAGGTTCATGCTACGGACAGGGTCCCAGAAAACCAATTTGCAAGGAAACCAAGGTTCCAGGACCAAAAGGGCCCGGTCAACGAGCAATCGCTGACAGGGGGGGGGACAGCGTGACAATAAATCAGCGCGTCTCGGTTCCGGAAACCCAGGGTTCCAATATACGCTGTGGGTTGCGCCAAGGTTCCGGAAACGAGGGTTCCAGGAAGACAAGGTTCCAGGGACACAAGGTTCCAGGAACACAAGGGATTCCGGAAATCCCCCAGCCAATCTTGGGTGCTTTGTGGCCCCTCACTGAATTCCGAATTCATGTTCGTTTGCTCAGTGGGCGCACAGCGTCGGTCGACTGACCTGTTCTGATGTTGCTGTAAAATCTTCTGTTTGAACTGTTCCGATGTCGCATCTACCAAAGCACATGCCACATCAAGCAATTAAGTTCGATGCCTTGGAACACCTAAATATTGGCAGCAAACCTGTGTGAGGCTTCTCGAAGCCAGGTAGATGATTTTTTGAAGCTAAGTGACCAAACAGCAACACACAATGAAACTTCAGACACAGTTGTGACACAACAACCAAGTATTGACATGAAACTAATTCTGGAATCATGATGGACAATTTGGCCAAAACCAACTGTTTCACCAATCACTTGCGCAAACTGACCGATGTTGTCCAAGCACGACAAGATAATCCCAAACCAACACACACACACAATTTTGTAAACACTTAATGACACACCGTGGTCTGCAAATACTGCCATTCGTTTGTAACCAAATGTATGTAAATTCAACTATGCGCGCTTTCTTAAAGAACATGTCTCATCCTGCCTTTGGTCCAAAAGGGGAGGGGGCAAGGCGGGCAAAAAATCGCCGAAGAGACTTAGGCTATGGAATCCTGTTCCTGCCATCATTAATCCGTCTTGGGTTGCAAAGTTGGACCACTGTTTGAAACCAACCGCTGCCGGTTCCGGGAACCAGGGTTCCGGGCAAGGTTCCGGAACTCAGGGTTCCGGGAACCAGGGTTCGGGGCAAGGTTCCAGGTTCCGCAAACCAGACTTTCAAGCAAGGTTCTGGGAACAATGGGTTCTGGCTACCTTTTGGGTTCCGGGACGTCAAGGTTCCGGGATCCCCAGGTTCTCGGCGCCAGGAAGGTTCCGGGCACACTTGGCTTTCGACAAGGTTCCGGGAACCTTACCATGGTTTCGAGCGGTTCTGGAATCACCGGAACACCAATTTTGAAACATCCTGGAAACCCAGAGTTTGGGGAACGAGGGTTCCGGAAAGGTTCCAGCAACACTGGGTTCCGACAAGGTTCCGAGAACCACCGCGGATGCGGACCCACAGTTTGGATATACTTCCTGGATTATGCCACAGGTTCCGGACAGGGACAAGGTTGCGGAACAACAATTTTCAAGAAGCCCAGCCCAGGTTCCAGAGAACCAGGGTTCTGGCAAGGTTCCGAGGTTCCGGAAACAACCCAGGGGTCGGATATACGCCGTGGGTTGTACCAAGGTTCATGCTACGGACAGGGTCCCAGAAAACCAATTTTCAAGGAAACCAAGGTTCCAGGACCATATAGGCCCTGTCAACGAGCAATCGCTGACAGGGGGGGGCACAGCGTGACAATAAATCAGCGCGTCTCGGTTCCGCAAACCCAGGGTTCCAATATACGCTGTGGGTTGTGCCAAGGTTCCGGAAACGAGGGTTCCAGGAAGACAAGGTTCCAGGAACACAAGGGATTCCGGAAATCCCCCAGCCAATCTTGGGTGCTTTGTGGCGGGTTCCGCACATGCCGATTCATGTTCGTTTGCTCAGTGGGCGCACAGCGTCGGTCGACTGACCTGTTCTGATGTTGCTGTAAAATCTTCTGTTTGAACTGTTCCGATGTCGCATCTACCAAAGCACATGCCACATCAAGCAATTAAGTTCGATGCCTTGGAACACCTAAATATTGGCAGCAAACCTGTGTGAGGCTTCTCGAAGCCAGGTAGATGATTTTTTTAAAGCTAAGTGACCAAACAGCAACACACAATGAAACTTCAGACACAGTTGTGACACAACAACCAAGTATTGACATGAAACTAATTCTGGAATCATGATGGACAATTTGGCCAAAACCAACTGTTTCACCAATCACTTGCGCAAACTGACCGACGTTGTCCAAGCACGACAAGATAATCCCAAACCAACACACACACACAATTTTGTAAACACTTAATGACACACCGTGGTCTGCAAATACTGCCATTCGTTTGTAACCAAATGTATGTAAATTCAATTATGCGCGCTTTCTTAAAGAATATGTCTCATCTTGCCTTTGGTCCAAAAGGGGACGGGGCAGGGCGGGCAAAAAATCGCCGAAGAGACTTAGGCTATGGAATCCTGTTCCTGCCATCATTAATCCGTCTTGGGTTGCAAAGTTGGACCACTGTTTGAAACCAACCGCTGTTGGGGATCTACGTCGGCTTATTTGAAATAAACATGTTCATTTGGATTGCTCTTTTCACACTTTCCAGCTTTCCGTTTTGACAACTTTGGCCCACCGGCCTATTACTACGTTTGATATATAAATTCACTGTGATCGACAAAGTTTTTGTGCGGCTCTTTGGTGACAGCAACTCTTCACACTTTTGTAGACCTGGTGTGAACTCATTACTTAGAGACTATAGGCGATACGACGATACGACGATACATTTACTTGATTTACTTGGATTTTACTGCTTTGCACTGTGGTAATGCTCTAATTCACACCTTGGGTCCAACACTTTCTGAATCTCCATCACTATCCCACCCTCCACAATTCCAAAATGTCCGGGTCTGGGGACTTCTGTGTGCAGGTGAATTTGTGGCGGGGTCACCGAGAAGCCTGCAGCCAGGCTGGGTGTGGGAGTAAACATTCTTAGTTTTTTCATGTTTTTTCTTTTTTTTGGATGAATTTTTCTTGGATTTGCTTATATTTTTTTCACAACCTTGACTCAAGTTCATCCTTTTGACAGGAGAGCCGAGGTTCATGGAAGAATGAGGCTCAGGAGCCTGCTGACAATTCCTAGGTCCTAGAACGCTTTGAATATCTTTGCTTTGTTCTCAGATGGCAGCAGAATGCAGCAGACACATTGATGACATGTTGGGTTCTGCAATCTCTGCGACGTCTAGAGAGTTTCGTCCAGGTGTTGCTCTCCAGGTTTCATGCTCTTTTCAACTGCAAACCGCACACAACAAGCGCTGAAAGATGGCTAAAGTATTTTAATTTTATTGAAGCCTTCTTCATCTTCTTCACACCTCTCAATACAATCAGCTCTGCAATGACCTTTGCTGCAATCAGCTCCTTGAACAGGAGAGAAACTTTGCCAATGCCTATCGACGCAAAGGCCTTGGGCACTCAAGTTTTGACAGGTGGGCTTGTGGCACGAGACTTTGTCAATCAGGAGTGTTTCGAGGATAAGATGCAGCTTGCTTGAACCTGCTTGTGTTTGCTTTGCGTCTAAGGATCTGAGCATTGGTACAAACGAAGGGAAGTTGGATGCTCAGCAGGACTCACCGCGCGATTCCAGAACACACGAACAGAGGACAGAGTTGCTGACAACAACCTGCTGCAGTCATATATAGTCGTAGCGTTAATTGCTTTACAATATATAATGGCTTTCCACACACACACAGAAAAGCTGGTGTTCATGAGGCAGTTCACGAGAGCGAGATGGAAGCAGAGGAGAAGAGGTATGAAGTTCGAGTCTTAGAAGCAGCAATCAAGCAGTGAGGATAACTGAGACTGAGACCATTGATGAACAGACGTCCAGGCAACTATCAAGATTGCTCAACGTGACGTGGTTCGGACCGTAGCAGTAGCAGAGCAGACAGACAGACGCCCACAACAAGACTGTGTGGAGCTGCAGCTGGAGTGTTGGTTCTTCTTTAAAAAACTCAATCAAACGCTGATTTGATGAGAATTGCTTGATCTGACCTGAGACCGAATGAGACAGAATGAAACAGAATGAAACAGAATGAAACTTCTTGTGAAACTTGGTTTGAACTTGCTGTGAGGCTGTTGCAAAGCGAGTAGGACGGATCCGCGACCTTACGCGGATCAAATTTGCCAGGCCCATACCGTGCATCTGAAGTGTGGAGGTTGCGTCGGTTGTGTCGGTTGTGTTTCATTGTTTCCACCTCTGGTGGAAGATCTCAAGTTGTGTCCAGGCAATGGCTTGAACGTCGTATACGATGGGCCAAGCAAGAGACAATTACATCCAAAAAAAATGACACATGGAAGGCTTGGACGGAGAGACAGTCTTGGAGTTAAGGCAGTACTCTTGAAGAGATGCATTGCCAATTGCAGTCATGCCCAGTCACAAAGCTCAGAATTCTGGTGGAGGCTGCAACGTTGCAAAAGCAAGATGATGCCCAGGACACCAAAGTGATCCAAAGATTTTGTCTTTTGCATAAGCTCATTTGTCTTTTGTCGCACGAATTTCGAGGCTAGAATTCACGACCACAACGTGCGTTGGGCTAAGTTCATTGAGTTCAAGAAGGACAGCCTTTTTGGCAGGCTGCGTCTGACATGTGCTGTGCACATCTTTCAAAACTTCTGCAAACTTCATCAGAACAGCCGATGAAACCTTGCAGGAGTTTCTTGCCTTACGGAGAACCATGTGCCGTGTGACTGGCTTTGTTTGGAATCCCTAGACACAGCAAACAAAATTCACAAGACTCTAAACATGCACGTGTATGATTCATGCTGTGTGATCGTCTACTGTATGAATAGATTGTATAAATGAACAGTCACTGCTTCATAGCTCAGAAAGCTGTCCAAAAATGAGTTGTGACAGGCATGGCAGCAGATCGAGAGTTCAAGCGGCAACACCAGCGCCGCAAGGAATTGGATTCGGCCCATGATGCTTTCATGTGAAAATGCTGGTCTGAAAACAAATGCTTTGAGAAAAGCCTTGAGAGACTGGAGTATACTGGAGGACATCGCAACGCATCTCACTTCATTTGCTGAGAAGGCGAGAAGCGAAAAGCTTTTCTCAGCAGTATGCTAGACACATTAAGAGACTGCTCTTGGGAATACGAGCCAAGAGTAGAGCTGTGAATGCAGGCAGAAGCGGCACAGAAATCCCAAGCCGAGTCCCAGATGGAGGCGTGCTGACTGCAATTCCTTCACCGAGTCGACCCATGTGCGTACATTTTTCTATAGCAACCTCTACATTACGGGCATCTGGTCGAATAAGAAAATAGAATTAAAACAAATAGATAAATTAATGTGTATATATATAGTTATACAGTATGTATAACATGTATACAATGTATATAGTATATACATATATTATGATATGATATGATATGATATAATTGTATGATAATTGTATGTATGTGAATATTAATAATGTATATATATATATACATTCATCTACCCTCCCAGGGCTTACTTTTTGTCCTTTCCTGGTTGATATTTTTTTTAATCATTGGTGGATCTACAAAACATAGATATACAACGTTTTTTTTTGCATACTACATATTGACTATACAAGCTCTTCTAACTCACTTTGTCATTATTCTTTTTCATTGCAAGCCAAAATGGACGGGGGTCAGGATTTGGAGCCATGCCATGTACTTCAGAAATCATCTGAAGAGAACAATCTACAGTAAACTCTTCAAAATTCTTGGGCCCTGGAGGTGCCGCTGATGATATGACTTTACGTAGGCTGAATTAGGCTGAATTAGGCTGAATGTGTGCGAACGTTAGGTAGCGGCTTGCTTCGTGAAAGATTGGCATGAAGTTTTTGCTTCATGTATGCTGCGCTGGAGATGTTGCTTCGTCTATCCGTCTATCCTGGTTTGGGTTCCATTTTGGCAGCCTTGACTTGCCATCATCTCACCGTGAACGACGCCATTGAGTTTCTAGGTGTTGCAAAAACCGCGCAACTTTCAACCACTGAAGACTCTTCCATGCCTGACATATGAGCTAAACACATTATCAACTTGCATATGAGCTAACAACTCTATCAACTTGCGGGGAATGGAACCTCCAGCCTTCACCAATATATGTATATATGACTGTTTAGTGTTTGGCAGGCCTGGGTGGACAGTGGTCATTCCTTGGTGGTTGGTTAAATAAGGTAAAATCAATGCCAATTTTGGCTCAAGTAAGTATTGATCCAAAATAGCAGCATTGTTTTCCTTGGACGGGAGGTAGTTGGTCTAAGTGGTGGTGTCCACTGAATGGCCAACCTAATCCCTGGGGTACATGTTGCTTTGCACACGCGTGCAGAGATACTGCACACCGCGGCATGGATGGACTTCTCCAACTACGTGCGCCTTCTTCTTCGTGCTGGGCGAGCGGCCGAGGCGCGCATCCTTTGGGAGTCTGTTGTGGAAGTCATCCATAATGGAACGAACCCCAATGTGGATGTTTTGGGGATCCCAGAGTTGCCTGGGGTGTGCAGAATGCCTTGCATGGAGTCACCATGTGTGCGATGCGACACCAGAAGGGGAGGCTTTCAGTTTCCTTTCGTGGGCATTTGGACCAAGACGGCTGTTTTGGCCCAAGCAGGTGACACAGCTCAATCTTTGTGGGAGCGTTACCATGCCGGGGAGGAGACTTTTGAACTCCTTGCGTTGCAAAGAGTTGCCTCGGGCGTTACCCGTGCGCAGCTCATCCCAAGCCATGCCCATGGGACCCTCGTCAGGCTGGCCCTGTGTCGTGACGGCATCACGATGCAGGAGTTCTTCGAGCTATGGAGGGAATGGCAACGGGGCAGCTGTACCTGGGTGGAACCCTGGACAGGCTGCGGAGGAGTCGTGCGGGCCAACGACGATCGCAGACGAGCAGGAGATGCCGTGCGACGCATCCTGGGTGCCGTGGAGGCTGAGGTGGAGTGGATCCCTGGGCCATGTCGGCTTTGCTGGATCCCTACGTTCACATCTTGTCCAACCTGTGGCGGAGCAGTCTGCGAGGAATGCCGACGTGGAGGTGATTTCTGCCCCTTCTGCGGCTCCTCTGACGATGAGCAGTGAGTCGGTCCTGTCTGGGGATGTCAAGGGGGTGGTCCAGGGAGGTTATAAGGCACGGGAGAGTGCCGGAACCAGATCATCTCCATCTACATTCTCAGCCCTGGCTCAACTAGGACTCGCGGTTGCTGCCGGTGCCATGGCGAGCAGCAAGGGACGGTACGCTCTTGAGGCCGCGGGTGAAGCAAGCACCTGGGACCCAGAGCAAGCCGTGGAAGTGGCCACTATGGAATTGGAAGTGAGGCAACACTTCGGGTTAGCTGATGATAGTGACCTCGCCTATGCCTTCGAGAACTACCAGGATGCCATGTCGGCAGGAGGGCACGCTCTGGCGGCGCAATGGGCCTCAGCCCGGTCCAAAGCTGATGAAGGGTTGCTGGCGGCTGGAGCAAGGGCGGTCGAAGATAGTGGCGCTGGCTCAGCACGAGATCGAGTTCCTCGACCGACCGTGAAGCCGATGATCCAGAGGAGACAGGGAGTGACCCTGTCTACCAACAGGTACGGGCCTGATGCAGTGGTGCAGAGGGTGGAGTCTCTTGCGCAGTGTTTCGAAGAAATGTCTGTGCAGCGGCCGGCCCACAAGGTAACCGAGGCACGGCTGGAAGAGTGGAGGAAGCAGTTGCGGCGGTTGTCACAACAGAAAGTAACTCAGGCCGATAGCCAGACGATCATCAATGCCATCCGCACCTGGAAGGAGCTGGCGCACTACCAGGAGGACGGGCCTCGAAGTGGTCGAGGACTTGGACCTGGCATCATTCGTCCAGGATGGCACAGACGGCCCAGCGAGGGCCCTGGCATCTCTGAAGTGGCTCAACAAAGCAGGCACGATGGGGTGGAACCTCACCAACATCCAGCTTCCAGTGGCACCCAATGTGAGGACGCGGAAGCGGCAGCAGGCAGTGGTGGCCGAGCCAGGCATGATTCCCTTCCTGGAGGCAGGCATCATCACCGCGGCCGAACACAACAATCCAGAATGGATGGCCTTGTTAGCCAACTGGTTATGTGCTGTCGGATGTTTGCGGCACCGACACATCACCAAGAGTTCCCCCCAGCGGCTTTCCGCTTCTACTGTCCATGCCTGGTGTTCGCAGGGAAAGCAGGCACACTCCAGGAATGGATTTACCTGGTCAGCCCCTGCAGAGTTCACCAATGGTTTTCCGTGGGCTCAGAGAGTGATCGATGCCTGGGTGGTCATTGGAGTGCAACGGTTTAGGGCTGGGTCTGCCATCGCTGAAGTGCAGTGGTATCTCTCGAGCCCGAGATTTGGTGGAGCAGTCCAGTGCAGCCATGATGCAGTCAGCCTCTTGTAGCTGCTCGTGCAGAAGTGCCTGGCGGGTTGCATCGCTGAGGTCATGAGTGGGGTCCAGGAGGATGTCAATGGGCAAAACTCTCCATCCGCACCATAACAACGCCTTGCTGACCGGTGCCCCTGGTCCACTCATGATGTCTGCTGCAAGGGGGGACTGTGGCGGCATAGGTGGAAAATCGACCCCAGAAGAGGCTGCCGCCTCCTCTCCGGGGCCCCTTCACTCCTTGATGTTGGATCGGCACGTGTGGGCCCCATGCCCAGGCGCGCCACAGACTCTGTCCCCCCGTGTGATAACTCCACATCGGTGGGCACCTGCCGTACATTTGCCCTTCTGCTTGCAGTCTCCCCGTTGAAAGCCCTGACATAGGGTTGTACCATCCCTCATCACCTTGGCGACCCGCTTGCCGTTGATGGGCTTGCCAAGGATGAGCTTGTTCGGAGATGCAGACGCAGTCGCCACCTTGCTGTTCGGCACTGGCGCCATCGCAGTAGATGCATCCCGTGCCTGGAAGACCTCTTTGATGATGACTCCCAGAGTCAGGGTGCTCTCCCTGAATCGGGATGTCCATTCGGCTCGTTCTTCTTGGTCTCTTGCCTGCAACCACACCATCCGCTTGGAAGAGTGCACCTGATAGCATGTCCTCTTTGCCCGAAACCAGTAAGTCATGCACACATCCAAAGGTACCGCTGCAAACTCCGTCGAATCAGCCCCCAAGGTTGCCTCCTTGGTGGCATCTGGTGATGTGCCCGGCGGGGGGGCAACTCCAGCGATCGCGTAGGCCAACATGAGGGTGTAGAGGCGGTCCAGGTACGACTCCACATTGTGCTGGCAAGGCTCGTCCTCATCCACTTCCTCCGTGTAGAGGTTCTCACCCAGCTTGCGCTTCTTCTGATTGGTTGTCAGCTGAAATTGCAGCGTCTTCACCTTCCACAAGTTGAACACACATAACATTCTCTTGGATAGCTCCCGGCTCACCCTCGAGACGGTTGTATCCGCCGGATGTACCTCAGTTGGGAACTTCAAGCGGTACCGCCGCCAGAAGGCTGTTTTGGAATCCCGCAGCTCACTCTCATTGAGCATGCTGTCCAAGTCAGTGGTCTGCACCTTAGACCGGTCTTGCTCGGCCGTTTGATAAAACAGTGAGACTGCCGCCCAGGCCCTCCTCAGCCTGGCAATCTGCACCATTTTGTCATCGGTCACCCCGAGCTTGGTTACCCAAGTTTCCACTTGGGCCCCATCATGAAAGAAAAATCGGAATTCCTCAAGGTTGGCTATCTTCTCTTTGATTAGCCCTTTCACGATCACGTCGTCAAGGCTGAAGTTTACCCCTTCTGGGGTCCCCCCCTCTCTAGGTACCAACCCTGATGAGCTCATACGGGTTCCGCCCGCACCAGCCCTCCTCGGTCCCCCGAGCAGTCCTAGGCTGTCTTGAGCAAAAGCTGAAGACACAGACCTGCACGCGGTTACTCCGCTCACTCAAATGAACCCAGGACCCCCTGGACACAGACTCCCCTCCCTGGCATTCTCAGACTGCTCTCAGTTCTTGCATGCCGAAAAAGGGGAAAACCTAAGAAGCCTCGAAGGGAAGGTTGGGATACAGCTTGACCAGCGACCCCTTGACTACCTACTCCCTAGATGAGCACTTCAAAAAGCTAGTCCTGCTCCCACAAGACTCCCTCCCCTGGATTACTTCCCTCACATTTTTCACCAAAAGTGAGCTGTTATCCGAGGTTCTGATCCTGTCAAGGTGGCTTGAACCAAACAAATGGACATCTTATGATTGAATTAAATAAAAGAGAGGATCGGAGAGCTCCGCTGGCCCCCAAAAATGCATCCCTCTCCAAGCTCTTAGCCTGCAGAAAAAGGTTACCGTGATACCTCCCTGCTTTCAGGTGGTGTCACTTGCCCTGCTCTGCTACACTCACTCGGAACCTGCATCGCGTGGCATCCATGATGCTGGGGCGCGGGCCAAGCAAGCTCTGCACCACGGTCGGTCCCAAGCCACTGCCTCATCGCCATCCTCGGTGAACATAGGGTCAGTCAAGCGCTGGGCCTTGTCCGACTTCTGGTGATGCATGCATAGCGGCACATGCTTGAAGCCCTGCAAGTGGAGTGCGCTCCTCGGAGTAGCCAGATATCCCGATGGGCGTGGCCAGCGGTCCCTCCGCTTCGTGTTCCTCACTGCTTCCTGCAGCCACTTGGCGGCCTCCTTGTCTCTGCAGAAGCCCGGCACATCGGTATCTCTTCTCTGGGCTATCCAGTCCGAAGCGTCCTCAAAAGTCTCACCCATCATCACAGCCCTGATCAATGCTGTGGCTCCTCCGGCTCGGTGGCGACCCGCAATGCAGTGTGTGACGATGACTTCGCCACAGTACAAGGACTGTAGGACCAATGGCCATAGCTCCTTCCACGCCTCTGCACGCTCTGCTGCCACGGCCACAGGGAATCGCCTCAGCAGCGCGTTAGGCAACACCACTCCATTCCGCGCCTCTGGCCTCTCAGTGAAGCATGCGATCTGCAAGGTGGCCGGTGGAAACCGATGTTTGTTGGCTGCCGTCGGAAGCCCGGCCAGCCACAACTGACCCCCTGAACTCATCTCCAGGATTTTGGTTGGGGCCTGGGCATACTTTCCCTTGATCGTTGCAAGGCGGTCCCAAATGACTTCTTCTTGGGGTGGATCCAGGGTTGCCGGCATGGGGCATCACGAAGTCCTCGTCCGCTGGGATGTGCGCTGGCCGCTCAACCACCATCCCTGACTCATGGACCTCAAGTGCAGGCCTGGATGACGATGCCTTCGCCACCGGCGGCTGCTTGGGCGTGGAGGCTCCACCTGCCGCTGCTGTTCTCTTGGCCTTTGGTTGCGGCTGCAGCTTCGGTACCGCTTTAGCTTGGGCAGGAGCCACCGCAGGCGCTTTCGGTGGCGTCACCGGCGCTTCTTGCCTCCTTGCCCTCTTGGCCAATGGAACTATGCTTTCTGAGGAGCTCGATGATGTGCAGCCTGGTACTGCCTCCTGAGTGGAAGGATGCGGTAGCACCGGAGATGTGACGGTACTCTCCGCCAATCGAGCCTTCTTCGTCCAGCAGACGTGGGCACCATGTTTGCCGCCGCATGCCCGTCCAGTTCTGGATACAACGGCACAAACGTGGGCTTCCGGGCACCGCTCCTCCTCACACTGCCCTGACTGAAAGAGGTCACATAGTGGGGTCCCGTTCCTCAGGAACTTGGTGAGCAACTTCCCCCCTATGGAAGGGGGCATTGCCGGGCGGCCTGCCCTGGCGGCCTCTTCTTTGGCCTTGTCTCTCTGCTCGAGGGCTTGCTGAACGAAGTTGAACGACCTCTTCACCGAGGTTGGCGATGCCTTCGCCTGCCATTTGGTGACCACGTCCTGGTTGATCTTCTTGGCAACCGTTGCCTCTGCCTGCACCACTGCGGCATGCAGATCATCCATTGGGATCACTTCCCAAGACTCAAACTTGGTCAGGTTGGCCATGATGGCATAGGCCATGTGCTTCATCCGTGTTGACATCGCTTCTTTGGAGCCGGTATAGTGTGCTGGCATCTTGGCAGATGATTTGACCTCATCCGTCCAGTCTCCTAATGCGTTCAGCTCCAAGTCCGTGAAGGTCGAGAGCAAACCCACTGTAGGTGCCACCCGTCGCCATGTGTATGTTGTGATATTCCTCGCATCATCGACATGGTTCTCGAAGAGGAGCTGGGCCTTCTTCTGGACCTCCGAGATAGGGTAGGGGATCCCTTCCCCGTCGAAGGCCATACCACAGGTCTGCTGCTTCTCTTCGGGCAGCTCTTTGATAGAGGGCTTACCAGGGCTGAATCCCCAGGATGAAGCTAGGGTGGAGCGTGATAACAAGGCAGCTGGATTTGTCCTGGAAGAGATCCAGGCCATGGTGCAGCGGGGAGGCGCCACAATTCGGGAGAACCCTGGCCGAAGCCTCCATTGGGAGTTACCCGAGGAAAAGAAGCTGATGGACTCGGGTCAGTACTGGGAAACCGAGTACTCTGCTTGTGTCTTCCAATCGGCACGGTGCAAGTACCAGAAGCTGAGGCACAACGTCCTGGAGATAGCTCAATGGCCCAAGGCCCTATGTGCCCACACTCATGCAAGTGATGAGTGGAGGCCATGGACGGAGCATGGTCAGCGGGTCTACCCGTCGAAAGAGGAGGCGGAATACTCCGCGGGCTTAGCTTTTGCGTTAGCAGTTGCGCTTTCCTGGTGGGCGGTACGAGTTGGGCGAGCTGTGCTCCATGTACCTCGGATGCCACCTATGGAGGCGGTGGGCCGCCGGGAGCATTGGCTGGAGCTGCACCCGCAATCGATGAGGAGTTGGGCAATGGCACCATTGGCCATCCTGCTGGGTCTGGAGCCACCACACCCCCAGGAGCGGGCAAGGATCCCCAGCCGGGGTCGGGTGAAAGAGCTGCTACATGAGGGGCAATTGCCAGCAGGGGCCATCTATGTGGGGCAAGGTCATCATTCACACAGGTTACCCACTACTTGTTGGAAGTCACCGTTCGTTGCAGGCCATGATTGTGCTCCAGATGAAGTAATGCCCTTGTACATCGACCACATCAAACGTAACTTTGGCCAAGAGCTCCATTCCCTGTTGGGGAAGACACTAGTGTGTGATTGTGCCGAGGATGAACTCTGTGAGGCGGACGTTCTAGCAGGCTTGGTGTTTGAAGCCACGAGCCCACATGCGTCAGCCCCACACCCGCGGGCAGCGGGCATACCACCCAGGAGAGTTGTCCGGGGTCCCAAGCGAGGAAGTTTGGCCCTGGCTGCCTTGCAAGCACCGACATTGGCTGGTTCGTCGGTCGTCAGGTGGACGCAAGAGGCGGTGGTCACAACTTTCCGGAAACTCTTCCCGGCCGAATGGTTCTCTGGCTTCAAGTTCCCCATGATCGAAGACCTCGTGAACCAGCATCCCTTCTGCAGTTACGTGCAATGGCGTGAGGCGCAAGGGTTGGAGTGTGATGGTCCCCTTAACCCTGCTGGGGGGTCTGGCGTTACCAGACTGCGGCAGAGGCACGCTGATGGCAAACAGGCAGGGAGCCTGAATCATCGAGCCGCACTCCCACCTCTTCTGCCGTTCGGATTGGACCCAGACGAGCATTTTGAGGCCGCCTGCACTGTGGGGCAGTACCCTTTGCCGACGGAGAGATCGCCGGTCGTGGACACTGACCTCCAATTTGCCGCGTACATGCATGCTCAAGAGAAGGACTCCCTGGGGTCATGGAGGAGGCGAGCTCTGGGCATGTTGCGGGAGTTGAAGAGGCGATGGACCCCAGTAACAGACCAGCTACGCACTCTTCAAACAGATGCAATCGCGAGGGTCACCACCAAGAGGGACTTGGGGCTGACGGCACTGCTGGTGGTGATAGCCCAGTGGGGGGACACCTGTTATCCCTATGGCCTTATCACGGGGCTGCCAGCAGTTGGCACGGCGCCTTGTTACAGCATCTTTCCAGCGCAACAAGGGAGCATCATCAACCTGGCCGATGTAGTGGCGGACACCGACGAGCACAACCGAGCCATTATCGCGAAGTTGCGACCGGGTCTTCATGATGAGTTTCTGTTGTCACAAAGTTTGGTGGATGCAGACAAAGGCTTTGGCACACAGCCTATGACTTGGTCAGAGCTTTTACGAGCCACGAAAGGACGCCCATTCCGGCTCATCCCGCGATGTGTCATTGTGCAGCCAAGTGGTAAGAAGCGTATCATCGATGATGCAGCAGTGGGCGGCCAATCGGCACTTTCATCTGACTTCAACAAGCTGGTACTGTGCAGTGCACTTCGACCAGCCCAACATGTTGCAGCAGTCGCGAGCTGGATGTCCCAGAGTGACTGGGATCATCACATGACTTATGACCACTTTGAAAGCGGAGGCGAGGATTGGCCAGATGCTTATCGACACAGTCCAATCTCCAGGGAGGAGAGTCTCGGCTGTGTTGTTACTTGGTGGCATGATGAGTGGCAGCAACCCGCCTTCCAGCTCTACAACTCCTTGCTCTTTGGGCTCCCACTGGCAGTGACAAGCTTCAATCGCTATTCCAAGTTTGTAGAAGCACTGGGACGACGCCTTCTTGCTTGTTTGGTGTCTATGTACTTTGATGATGCGAATGTGGTAGATTGGGCTAGCTCCAAAGGGGCGTCGCAGATGGCATTTATCCACCTCAATGAGATCCTTGGCACCCCCTTTGCAGTGGAGAAGCATCAGCCCATGTCCAGCCAGGGGCTTTTCCTCGGATTAGACCATGACATGTCCCATTTGAACTCTACTGGCTCCATTAGTTTTTGGCCCCGGCAACGCCTCATCGACAAGATCAAAACTTTGATGCGTGATTGTCGAACCTCAGCCCGGCTACATTCAGGTACAGCTTCCAAGATCTACGGCATGATGAACTTCCTCGAACAAGGAACCTATGGTCGTATTGGCGCTCAAGGTCTGGCACCAATTAAGGAGAGACAGTATGAGAAGGGTGTTGTCCTGACAACTCGCATTTTAAAGAGTTTTGAAGTCATCGAAGCGATACTTCGGGACAAGCCGAAACGTCAGTTTTTCATTTTTCCTCCCCCATGCCTACGGTTTGTGGGTGCGTCGGATGCAGCTCTGGAGTGTCCAGGGCAGGGCACCGGGGGGTTCTGCATCGTCTGGATGGATCAGCCTGGGGTCACCAGGGAGGCTTTCATCGCAGACTTGCCACAGGAGGTATATACCCTGTGGGAACCAGGCGAT